TTTCGGAACATTTAAGCCATCAATTATATCATTTTTCTTTACTAAATATATCTAATCTTATTTAGATATAATATATTTGTCTACTGCTACACTAATAATTTTGTCTTGTTACGGTTCTTAAATTCCAAGAATGCTAGCTTTATCTTTTTATAGTTCTTAAATTCAGTAATTGGCTCTATCTAATACGGAGTATAATATTTCATTTCAACCACACAATAAGGCGGTAGGAATACGCGATCAAAAGAAGAGTAGGAAGAGGGCTAACAAGCCGTACTTTTTGACCAGGAGACATATTGCCATGCTCATGTCTAATCAGGGATTCTCTTTTAGAATAGGATTTGAACACTTTACTTTACTTCTTTCGTTATTTTTTCTTTTCTTATCCAAGTACAGGTCGCAACTCAGTGCTACCTAATCGAGTCAAGAAGAGATAACGACGAAACAGACGATGGAATGGGAGAGAAGGCAGAAAAAGAAACAATGAAACAGGTACAAGTACAATAAAAAGTTTCTGAATAGGAGAAGTCTAGAGCTAGAGCTATTTTATTTACTCCTTTATATCTACTATAATATAATCAAAAGACTGGAGAATCTCTAATCTGACAAACAGGACCCACCTATCATTTGAATGGCATTAGTTCGAACTTTTTGTTTAGGATTCTTACAGTACTCTCATTTCATTTCAAATTATTGAAATGTTGTGTTAAAGTAAATAAGTTGTAATAATATTATGTATCTAAATTAAAAAATACTCATCATTCCATTCTTATTTATAAAGCAAGCTACTTGAAGTTACGGATAAGATCTATACATATATCGTCAATCTAAACATCCTAAAAATTTTACCATTAAATTTAAATCTCAAAAATTGTACTAGTCTATATAAGTCTACACAAGAGTAGAGAGTGCTAAAATGCATCGTGCGAGGCATCTGCTCATAAACTGTAATTCCATCCCGCCGTGCAGCTGCGAGACCAGGAGGGGGGTGTCACACTCATGGGACACACACACAAGACTGTATTATTATTAGAAATGGAGAACCGAAGCCCAATTGTGGATGAGCTTGGGCTAAAGTTTCTCTAAGTAGAATATGGATTGGGTTTAAAATAAGAACCTGTCCTTGTGTTAACTGGGCTTGGGTTGATATTTGATCCATTAAGCATCCTGACACAACCTCTTTTTTTTTTTTTTTGGGCACTCTTTTGGATCTTAATAGAATTCCAAATATGTAAAGAAAATATTTTAGGTTTGTTTGGTGGCATATAATTAGAGTCTTGGAATTGGAATTGGAATTTGAATTGATAGAATTGAAGAAAATTTTAATTTAATTTTCTGAGTTATTTTTCTCCAATTCCATCAATTTTAATTCCACAACTCTAATTTCATGTCTGCCAAACATAGCCTTAGGTATTTTAGAATTTTGCTTTAGGAGAGACGTTCCATAGCATTTGAAACCTATCTTGAAATTTAGGTTTTTTTAATTAGGTAAATTGGCAGAAATTTTGTTTTTTGATGCTTTAAATTATTTCAAGTTTAATACGTTAAACGGTAAGAACATTTTCAGTGGTTGTTATATATATATATATATATATATATATATATATATATATATATATTTGTGTAAATATGATGTGTCATAGTAGATTTATGCAAAAAATTTGGATTACTCATCTTTAGCTCCAGCCATTATTTTATACATTTTGTGTAAAAATGAAGGGTTGATTCGTTAATGGAATGAGAGAGAAGAAATGAAATATGTTGGTGTGGTTGTGTAAAATGTTGTATAAAATATAAAACAATTTTACACATTTGTGTATCTTAACAGATTGCTGGAGATAAAAAAAAAAAATTTCATATTATATGTGATAATATATAATTTACACAAAAATAAAAAGTAAAAAATTTAACAGACTGACGGGAATGCTCTTAAAAATTAGTTTGTTCTTGTTCCAAAATTGAATTATTAGATACGATTGACAAAATAAAACCCAGTTGGTGCCTTATTGCAGTTATGGATTAAACTAGGAATTTAACTAAAACCTGCTCATTTTTTTTATTGGGAAGGGACGAAAGCGCTACCAAACTAGATTTAATATATATATATATATATATATATATAGAGTAATGATCTCTTGCTCCCTATGGAGCAAGAAAATTCATCCGCACTTTCTATAGTGATCATTCGATCTAATCTAACGATTATTATAGAAACCTACTTACATCATTTCCTTTTAATATAAAACCATTGTTACTATTTATAATTTCTAAATTTAATATTTACATACCACTAATTACAATAATAAAAGGTAATTACTCTCAAAAAAAATTGAAACCTCTTCTTCTATGGAAATCACGTCTCTCTCAAACAAAAAATTACAAGAGACAAGAAAAAAAAATTAATAAAAAAAGATATTTTAATCCATTAAATTTTAATTATGATTCATTTTTATTTACTTATGATTACAAGGAGACAAAGGCGGTAGAGAACTTGCAAATTCAATTTGTATGGAGAAAGAGAAAGTACTCTTGTAGGTCTTTGTTTGAAAGAGACGTTATTTTCAAAGGTGAAGAGTTTTCTATATATATATTTTTGAATAATTACCTTTTATTGTTGTAATTAGTGGTTTGGTAAATGTTAAATTTGGAAACTAGAAATAGTGATACTGGTTTTGTATTAAAAGGAAAGAATATAGGTGGGTTTTTATAATGAATGTTAGATTAGATCTAATGGTCTCAATAGAAAGTGCGGATAAATTTTCTTACTCCATGGGGAGCAAGAGATCATTACTCTGTATATATATACATCTACCTGTCCAAAGACATTGAAACTCCTGAACCAAAAATTGAAATATTTAAGAACTTTGTTGTGGAGAAACCATGAATACTACTGAGATCATGTTCGTTATCGCACTAATATACCCATACAAATGCTGAAAACCGAGTTAACATTTTAATTTCTTTTTTTTGGCATAAAGTGTCTACTTTGAACCATCCTTTCTCGATACACCAATCAATGACAGAAAAATTTATTGAAGCCTTAAAAGATTTAGCAAGCTCATAAATTTACCATGTTAGAAAAAAAAAAAATACTTTTGAAGCCACAGACTGAGTGTTTTTAATTTTAGTCTGTACCTTCTTCAGTAGCACCATTCTAAAATATATATATATAAAAAAGGCATTGAAACCATGAAGTTTATAAGCCAAATAAAAGTAACTTACATTGGCGACTGGTCAAGGTGAAGTGTAATTTAGTAGTATTTATTTTAGCTTCTTAAAGCAGCAGGTTAAAAAGTTAGGACATGGCACAATTAAACGAAAGTGTAAGTAATTTGAACAAAATAATAATAATAATAATAATTTTAGTTAAAGTGATTTGGTTGACTTATAAAGAAATGAAAATCTCTATTTGGTAAACATAATCAATAAAAAATTATTAATCAATCAAATCACTCTGACAATTCCACCATTCAAAATAAAAGAAATTGCAAGTTAAAAAGGGTAAATGGAGTGTACTCAACTAGAATTATTATTATAAGGGCCATGGGCAAGTGGCCCAGCGATATCGACTTCTTACTTTTTAAAGGGAGGTTAAGAATTCAAGTTTCAAAAGAAACATGTGTGTGTGAGTCCAATTAAAAAAAAAAAAAAAATTTATTATTATAGATCTAGGGCAATGACAGTAATTAATTTTAATTTATGAAAATGAAAAGAAAAGGCGGTCATGTTTTAATATTGAAAAGGTTGTTGGGCTGCGGACCCAAAATTTCAAACAACTACTCATTCTAATGAAAAAAAGGGTGTGTAGCCATTAACTCAAGGACGACTCTATAAATACCCCAAACCCCCCGTTAACAAACCAGTAGTACAATTACTCCCACCATAGTAGTATATATATATATATATATATATATATATATCAAGAGAGGTTTTACCTATAGAAGAACATCATCATCATCATGGGTGGTCATATCAATAAACAGAACCTCCAAAGTCAGAGTCTATGCAGCCAATTCCAATTCCACTTCCACTTCCCAGAGAAAGCCATCCAACTGCTACTTTCACTCCCTGTATTTTCCTCCTTTTTCTACTCTTCTTCATTGCTTCCTTTCTCAATCCATTCTCTCAACAACTGCCTTTCTACATTCACAACTTACACAAACTACATATTCCTCCTCTGCAATGGAATTCTAGTCATTCTCATCAAAAACTCCGGTTTGATCACTAAATCTCTTCATAGTTCCACTTTAACTGAAGATTTTTTTTACTCAAATAAAGCACTATGATAACTTGAGAAAAACACTCTAACAAGAGATAGCACATCAATACATTCACACTTCACAGCCACACACAGAAAGCATCCAATATTTTGAATATTTTTTCACTTGATACTCCTCTCAATAAAAATTCCTTATTTTTCTAAACAATTTCACACTTCTCTATTCTCATTGAGAGGGTTATTGTACACTTTTCTCACATGCCAACCACTTCAACAAGTGTAATTTATGAAACCACATTAAGCTGTTGGTTCAGACAGACAAACAACATCAAACTAGACTCAAAAGATCCTCTACATTTACATTCTCACCACAACCATTGACAGCATTAGAAATCAAATAATCCTGACAAATTGAACTCAATTGTTCCCTTTTCCCATGCACCCAAACAGTCCCAGATAAATCAGTAAGCCAGCCCCGGTGAGAGCAGAGCTTTGACAATCTTTCCCATTGACACGTATACAAGAATTTTAGCCCCCACTAGTTGACAAGGGACCAAGATAAATTGAATCCCATTTAACTTGTCCCTTCAAGAGACTAATTCAATGCCAGCAATTCTTTGCCTTTAGAAGTTTGACAGAAAATAAGGGACAAAGAAATTCCAAATCTCAAGCTTAATGCAAGAGACCATAGTAGTTCTTGCTGGTGTAGATACTTTTAACACTTGTTACTGTGGTTGAGCATCAATGTCCGTTGGAAATGTGTTAATTTATGGACATCATAATATCTTCAAAGATTTCATCTCAAAATAAAGACAACAATCTGGATCAGTATCATTTGACTCCGCAAACAACCTGTCAATAACTGAACTAGAGTTAAGGCCATGTGTTGATTGTTTGGTTTCCCTGTACAGTTTTGCCCGAAACAGTTTCCTTATTAGTCCTAAGGAACAGAAAATTTCAACCCAAAAGGCTATATAAGGGCAGAAAGAAGGAAAATTGATTATACAAAAAGGTGGAAAAGATACAACAGCTTGAGGCCATGAAAGCATTCTGCTGAACTTATTGTGAATCTTCATGCTAAAACATTGGAAGCATTCTGCTACGAGAATACCTGACTTGTAAACATGCCACCGACTTGGTTCTGTGAGGCGGCCATGAAGATTATTCCCCTACCCTTTAAAATTCTCTTCAACCTTTTGGTTCCCGGTGCTTTATCTGGTAAGCTAATGGAAATTCTATGAGAATAACAAAGGAAGACCTCTCTGCCTCTCTAAGATATTGTACAGTGCCATTCATGATCTTCACAAGCTTTTGACAGATAAATAGGCCAAGACCTTCCCTCGAGAGATTTTGTTTATGGTGAAACATCTCTTGAATTAATTCTTCTGGAATGCCTGGTGCTGGGTGGATGATCCTGCCACATAAAGCATATTATAAATTTTAATGCATTGCTTTATATTTTTCTTTCTTACATTAAGATCAGTCCATAAAATGCATAGCTGTTTTCCATGCTTCACTGGACATGATTTTCATGGTTTTCTGATAAGTAATTTTTCCTCGCATTCTTGGCACATCCAATTTTATTGACCTCTGACCGATTAAAACACAAACATACTGAGAGTTATGATCTAGAATAGCATATCAAAAATTAAATGACTAGGTATGAACGAAAATTACCGAAATTCAAGATGAACAACATGCATCTTTGCCCCTATACGTTCCTTTCTTGGAATTAACCTCAGCTGCACTGATGATCCCTCAAATGCAGGAGTAAAGAGGATAGCATTTGTCAGAAACTCTGAAAGGACTTGCTGAAGCCTCAAGTTGTCACCATACAAGTACATAGAAGACACTTCAGCAGGAGAATCATAATTGACTGGCACCTTGCGTTCACGACTCAGAATCATAACTTGATTTATAACCACTTCCAGAGCTTCCTTGAGACTAAATTCACTACTGTTCATTTCCATATAGCTGAAAATGAATTCCATGAGGATCAAAAGTAATCCCAAAATATGCAGACGTTAAGATATAAACTACAACCAACCAATCCAGGAAGGGAAAATTTCCATGATGCACACAGAATGTCAGGCAACATAATAGTAATACATATAGGGAGAAGTGGTTCACGTTTAAATTCATATATTGCAATGCTCATATATAATCAACAAAAAAAAAAAAATAATTAGTCCCATACATCAATAAATTGAATAACAAGGAAAGTGGCGGAAGTGAAGCAAGGAGAAATAAAGTAGCATAACGAAAAAATGTGTCACGGAAAGCAATTCCTTGGTTTCATGCAACACCAACAAGAAAAGGGTAGCAAGTCCTAAACAATTACACACTGGTCGTTGGTTTTCAGTATAGGGTTGTTATCATAATTTTACATTTTAGGCAGTTTTATTTAGGAGAAAACACCTTTAAAGTATGCTTACAGTGCATATCACAACCCTCATGTGCAAAAAATACCCCTAAAGTTTTAATTTGGTGCAAATAGGTCCCCCTGACAAATTTAAACTCTAAGTTGACTAAATTACCCTCACTAAACTATTTTATAAAATATATAAAAATAAATAATTTTGTAAAATGACCAAAAAGGACACCATTGTAGGATGCCCCTCTCGTGCAAAAAACACCCCTAAAGTTTCAATATGGTGCAAATAGGTCCCTCTGACAAATTTAAACCCTAAGTTGACTAAATTATTCTTACTGAACCATTTTATAAAATATATAAAAATAAATAATTTTATAAAATGACTGAAAATGATACCATTGGAGGACGTTGGCAATGGAGGACGTTGGCAATGGACAAGTAAAGAAAAAAATATAAAATAAAAATAAAAGTATAAAAGAAAAGTAAAGATAAAAATAAAAAATAAAAGACAAATATAAAGTGCAAACTAAAGAAAACAAAATTTTTCCAAACTCCGAAAACTAGTGCACACTGATTTTGGGATTTTTTTTTTTTGGTTTTGTTTAACAGTGTTGGTAAGAAGAAGAAAAAAAAAATAAATAAATAAAATTTAGTAGAAAAGAGTAAACTGGAATCTCAAAAAATTCAAATCCTTATTCTACAAATTTTCAAAGTTTTTTTAAAAAAATGTTTAGAGATATATGTAGAGAAAAAAGTTTCAAATATATGTATATATATATATATATATATATATATATATAAGGTAATGTGCACATAACACCCCTATACTATGAGATTAGTAGCATATATACTCCCTTGGGCATTTTAGGAAGAGTAAAAGGGAAAAACGGGTATTACAACACTAATTTATGTCAGAGGGGCTATTTTTGCACAATGTGAAAAGATTAGGGGTGTGTTTTGCACACTTTTTCAAATAGGGCGTAAAAATGCTACGCGAAGTATACTTTAGGGTGTTTTCTGCACTTGTCCCTTTATTTAATTATGGTTCTCTTTATTTCTTCACTGGATTAGGATCGGTTGAATTATTACAGAATTTTGGGAGTATTAATTTGCTTTTTTTTTTTTTCTTTTTTTTTTTTCAGAACTTTCTTCTTTATAAAATTGCTTTTATTGGTAAAGAGTTCCTATATTGTAGGATTTCTAGACTTTAAATTACTATATTTTTTTGGGTTCTAATCCAGAGCCATTAGAAGCATGGAAACTTTCTATTTTGATGGAAAATGAATCCACTTTGGTGACTATATCGAAGGTCAATGCAAGACTTCAGGGTTTTCTAGAATTTACAAAGAAGGATTTTTACTGCAAAACGAGATTAGAGCTGAATGAATAGTTTCCTTGGTTAAAGAGCGGAGAATGGGACAATTCTAGTAGTTTGAATCTGCATCTCAAACAAGTCCTTGTGAAGTAGAGCTCACTTTCTTTTTCTTAGGTAAGACACCCACACACCCAAGACACAAATGCTGACCCTATTCCCCTTGTATCGATAACTTAAAGCATCACTTTTCCCTCTAATTCAGCCATAGAATACAATAACTCTAGGTTGTCCTGTGTGATGATTGGAGCATGATAAAACCAACTGCAACAATTTTGTGTGTAAGGAGAAAGAAAACAAATAAAAAGATTTGATGAACTGACCAGACAATAATGCACGAATGAAATGATGAAAATTACATTTGAATCTAACCGAGACACTACTAATATTGTATTCTAGGTTGTCCGGTGTGATGATTGGAGGACCACGATAAACCAACTGCAACAATCTCGTGTGCACTGCCCAGACAAGAATGCACAATGAAATGATGAAAATTACAGTTGAATCTAACCGAGATACTAATATTGTAGTCTAGGTTGTCCAGTGTGATGATTGGAGGACCATGATAAACCAACTGCAACAATCTCTTGTATGTTAGGAGAAAGAAAACAAATAAAAAGATTTGATGAACTGCTCAGACAAGAATGCACGAATGAAATAATGATGAAAATTACATTTGAATCTAATCGAGACACTAATGTCTTACTAAGAAGAAAATGGGACCTAGGAACAAAATATTACTACAGATTTTAATATTATCAATATCCTATTGTCTCATTCAATCATCTAGGCTTGCCAACAAGAATCCTTGTCAATGCATCCATTCTGCCAAAAAAAAAAATCCTCTCATCTCAATCTAAAGCATGAACTAAAGAAATCATCCTTATGTTCCTCTTAGCACTAGTCTCACCCACTAGACTTTCTACCGGCAATAATCCATGTCTTCTCTTTTACTTATCAAAAAAAATAATAATAATAATCCATGTCTTCTCAATGGTGTCACAACTGACAATATCTTTAACAAGTCTGATCAAGCTCATGCTTTCACATTTTTATTTCCTGTGTAGGCTATTCCGAGGAAGCCTTGTTAAATATCATCTTTTACAGCTATTTCTCCATTCTAGCTAAATATTTTGCCAGCATTTCTAATTCTGTGTCTATACATAATTACCTATTTTCAAATGATCCAATATGCATTTTGATTATGACCAACTGTTGATACTTTCTGGTCTTTAAATCTACATAATCCAAGTTCTAAGATCAATCATGACATATATGGATCCCAAATAGTATTTAAATTGTTTATCAGAGTTCCTGCTTATAACTCTGGCTTCCTTCAACTTCACTTCTTGATGTGGGACTTTAAGTAAAGCCTCAGATAGCACAGAGTTGAAGGTTTTGGTGAATGGAAGTTAAGATATCACGCGAATGGAAGTAATCCATAAGGCTAAAATATTTCAACGTGTTAAACCATGACTTCTGGACTTATAGTCATTACTTAAAACTTCTTAGTTTCTACTATAATAAATAAAGTAAAAAAAAAAAAAAGCACATTAAAGGCTCTAGGCTTGAACCCTAAGGGATGGTTGGAAAAGATTTGGGCCCTGGTGCCTCATGAAACATCCTGCTAGGTGCAAACAATTCCTTGGAGGGAGTACCAACTAGGGAAAAAAAAAAGGCTCTACGCTTAACTACTATAAATGCGGATAACAACCAACAAATAACCCAACTTAACCTCCTGGGCTCCAAGTGGGCCCCACATCATCTAACATATATCAAGTCAAGGCTTGGGCCTTATAACCCTCCTTCCAAGCCTTCTATACTTGTTTAAACATTGCTGCCATTGATCTTCATCACTCCTGCTACTGCGTCGTAAAATCAGACTCTGCACAGGTCTTCAATGACTCGAATGAGGCAAAAAGATGCAGAATAATAGACATTCCCATTTGGCTGGGCATGTATGCATTACCCATCGAGTATCTACTAGCAGGATTTAAACAACTGTATGTTTTCACGATACTATAGTAAATTTCATCATATAATTCCAAAAAAGGAAAAAAGAAAACATTAATCCAAATTACGTAGAACCAAAAGGAAAATAGTTGTTTCAGAAAATCATACCATTCCTCAATACTCTTGATATCAGTATCATCTACAATCTTGGCTATTTGTTCCTGACACAATGTGCTCATCTTCAGAAGCTGCCTCTGCTCTTTGCTTAAATCAGAAGATTCCATTAGATTCTGTAAACACTTTATTCCATTTAAAGGGTTTCTGATTTCATGACGAATATAGGACACTTTAGTGAGGCTATTCGTCGCTGCCTGTTCTGATATTCTTTGCACATGCATCGCATACTGAAGTTCCGGGCTAGCTACATGCAAAAAGCATAAAACCCCAGTAATGCTTCCCTCTGCATCTGTCCTTTTGTTTGCAGAAAGCAGTGCCTCAACATATTTACCCTGCTGATCAAAGAACCCAAACAGCAATTTATCTGCATCCTCGCCTGCAATTACCCCATTCACTAATATCCTGAGCTTAGTTAATGTGTCTTGATCTTTGACCCGACAACCAAAATTGTCAACTGTAAAGACCTCTCCCAGAAGCATCCGATCAATGGCTTCTTCCCTCTTCAAGCCAGCCAATTTTTGCATTGCATCATTCCACTCCAAGCATCGGCCGTGCTCGTCCATCATAAATATTGGAGGAATAAGGGCACAAGGGCTCCGCATGATCCCAACATAATCTCCTTGGATTTGGGTGTATTTGTCCATAATCATCTTTTGCCCAGTAACATCTTGCCCAACAAAACTAACCCCTACAATATGTCCTTTTATGTCTCGATTACAACATGCATTGACAACCAAGATAACAGGACCATTGTTTTCCAAAGGACCATATGTTTTTAGTCTGATTTCAACATTCTGCTCTTCCTTACCTGCCATTTTAATATCGGATTAGATGGAGACCCAAAACAGATCTTGTAAGAATAAAGGAATATTAAAAACCAAGTCGCCCAACAGAAGTGGAGATATGGAACTCAACAGCAAACAAAGTTAACTTATTTCTAGCTCCAACTTGCAAGATATTTGGAATATCTTACACTTGGTCCCATTAATCAAGGGTGCTGGTGGGCTAGATACAGACCTTACATTTGGCATTATTGCACAAAGTGGCTCCTCAGCATAAACTTCATTAATAGAAAATATATGACATCCTTTTCCAATTGATAAATTGAAGCATAGGTGCAAATAAAAGGATGAATCATAGAACTAGTTACAAGAGCATATAATTCTAGCATTCCATAGCCGTATATTTCTTAGTATCTGCACAAAAATGTAAAAGTTTATAGGAGTCCAACACAGTATCATGCTGATCATCCATACCATTTTTAAATCTAGAAACTTGTAAGAGGTAAAATCAACAAATTGTTTACCACCAACCTATGAATTTATTTGTAGAAAACACAAAGCTCTCCAGAAATATTTAGATATGCAATTAATAAGAAGTTCAAAAATAAAGTAAAATATCACCTTCTAAAGCCAAGGAAAGCATGCTTTTCACTACAACGATTGAATCATCCACAACAAGATTCAATAAGGCCGTGCCCATGGCTTGCTGCAAATCTAATCCAGTAAGCTCAGCTACTTTGGTATTCCACCCATTAATATTACCAGAGTCATCAACAGCCAATATAGGGACTGAAGCAGTTTCAATAAGGTGAATCATTTCAGTCGTCACTGAACGCAGCTCATCGACCTGCTGTATACTGGTGTCAACTGTTGGAACATTCACTATCATTTTGGAATCATCCATGATCTCATCTTGCAAAGATTCTCTCAATATCAGCTGTAAGGAATAGATTGCATCCATTTCCACATCTTCCCATCGTAGGCTCCGCCCCTTGACCACCTCCAGAAAGGCCTTGAATGACGATCTGGGATGCATTTTTCTTCTGTCACCTTTGTCATCAGGATCATGTTTTGCACCACCCCACTTGATCTCCTTCGCTGAGTGAGACCGGAACCAAAAGAGGAAATCTCTTGAAGTAATCTTAATAGCAGCCATTCCACATACTGCATCACCAAGAATGGAGGAACCTGGATAGCCAGCTTCCACGAGGCTATCAGTAGTTAACCCAGTACTACTGCAGTGGTACTCAAGAAGCCATTCAGCTATATCTCTAATTTGTGGCTCTGTCGGGGTTACCCCGAGCAACCAAAATTTGTTCTTGTAGTACAGTGCAGCTCCATCACACTTGACAAGATCCATCACGTTTGGGGATTGAGTGACGATTCCCACGGGGTTGTCTCTTAGGAGCATGTCACAAAGCACTGTTTGAGTCCGCAAAATATGCTTCTCCCTTAGTTGAGCTGCCAATTCCACTTCCTTGTTAATCTGAACACCAAAAACTTGAATCAAGAACTCACAGGCATACCTTAAAGGAAATGGAATGAACCTAGGGCTTGTGTGGTGACATACCACCAAACCCCACAATTTTCTTCCCTTTTGCTGATCAATCTCCACATCGTCATCTTCCTCATTGATCGTCACTGACATCACAAGAGAAGCAATGGAACCCATATTTGACATATACTGTGCATGACACCCATGAGGAGATCTTAAAGTGGATCCACAAAGACTCACTGGCTGAGCCAATCTCTTGTCTTGAATTACTTTCACTGGCGGGGCTAAACAATCACAGATCATCCTAACCTTATTTTTCATGAAGAGAAATCTAGAAGCTTGTGGTATATCAGTAGCAGGGTAATGCAAACCGAGATAAGGTTCCAATTCGGGTCTGCGACACTCAGCAACAACTTCACCATGCTCATCTTCATGAAATTTATACACCATTGCCCGATCATAACCAGTCAAATCTCTCACTTCACGAATTAACACATCACATAATAGTGATATATTCCCACTTGGCAAAGATTGTAACCTTGAGATGGCTTTAGCAGCAAGCTTATATGATTTTAATGCTCCAGCAGCTGTTACTGGCACATCAGCCGGATTCACAGGCTCCAGATCTATAACAAACCCCACATCAATTTGATGCAAAATTGCATAAAAGGGCTTGCCAGAATTACTACAATGTACTAATATGGGGTTGAGGAGACTAACTTCCCCAAAATTCAGCGCTTTCTGCAGCGCAGCAGCACCTGGGGATCGAAAGAGTGCCCGCACATCTGTTCCAAAAGCCAAAGCTTCTTTCTGCTCAATGCTTGGAACTGCATGTGGGGCTAAATCCAACATTTCTGGGGCATTTTCACTGTAGGCAAGGATAGTGAGGTTCTCGTCGATGGCAATCATGCAACCAAACGATTGGATATGACCTCCCCTTTGCATCTTCTGCAGATAAGCAGATACAGTAGAGGAGGGAACATTGCTAGTAGAACTCGATACATTAGAGTAATCAAATAACTGTTCAGACTCTTCAAAATCCACATGAAGCTTTGCGTCAATGGGGGTCTGTGCAACCACATGAGCATTGTGCTTCACTCGAGCAGAGCTGCCCCTGGAAGAACTACTCTTGTCCGTCGATTTGGATGACATCTCAACCAACCCTTCTCTTCAAATCCTCTTTTTCTTCTTATTACCCCCCTCCAATAGATTCTTCAATCAATCCAACCCATGTCCACAGAATCCTATGACACCATTAAAGTGAAATTCAAACCCTCCAACATGGAATCCCCAAAGATGTGCTCTATACCTAACAACTCACAGAATAAACCTATATCAAACCCAAAATCCAGCAAAATTTAGCTCCTTCGATAAAAAGAAAAAGAAAAGAATGTACCACATTCAATGGGACATCATGAAAAAGGAGAAAAAAGTGATTCCCACTGCCATGTACATTGTACATACATACCAATCAGAAGCAAACCCCTTTTTCATTTTTTTCATTTTTTTTTTCTTTTCAAAAACCCCCTTTTTTCCTGTGCCCATGGAAACCATGAAAGGCTTGAATAAAGGTATTGATTCACACCCACCTCATCCTCCGATTCTCAATCCAAAAACCCACCAAAGAAAAGGAAAAAGAAAAATCACCACAAATGGATTCTCCTTGAACATATCTAAAGAGAGTTCTCCTTATCAACAGAACCACTCTTCTAAAGTACCCAAATCAATTACCCAGGTAACCAAAACTCAGAGAAGAAAAAAACACTGCAAATTTTTCAGACACCCATCACACAGAAACAACTCATACTGTAGAAAATTAGAAATATTCTTTCACACTAGAAAGAGAGAGATGAAGTTAGCTTAAAACTCAAAATAGACATTCATATCTCTGTAGACCAAATCCAAATCCCAAAACTAGCACAACACTAAATTCCAAAATAGCATTTAATAAAATAAATCAACAAGACATGGATGTGAGTGTGTGACTAACCATCAAAATTGCAGGGAATGGATCGGCATCCAGTGAAACCGACCTCAATTCTTGAGCATACCTATGGATTAAAGGAACTATAGATATACAAAAATAATTATATAAAGGCAAGATTTTGAGTCTGTCTCTGTTTTTGGTCATTAGTTTTAGTCTTTTACATAAGTATATATTATACATACTGAAAGGCAATTGTTTGTTACTATATCCATTATCTGGTGAGGTTACGAGGTGGTTTTGTGTTGGATGGGTTTAGAGTACTGGAATATAGTCTTATTTTAGACTCTTACCCCAAAAAATAATAATAATAATAATAATAATAAATAAATAAATAATACGAAATAGGAGTAGTAAAAGAAAATTGACAATAATAATAATAAAAAAAAGACAGAGATTTAACTCGTGTATCTTAGTACAACGCCAACATTGTAACAACAGTATAACAGTGTGTGATTATCCTGAAATAGAAACACCGCGAACAGACCATGAATAGATTAGCATAAATGTAGGGCAATTGAGCAAAGACCAATGTTGAGAAAAAAAGAAAAAGAAAAAAAAAAGAGTAAAGACGAATGAGCCAGATTTCTCGGTTAACAAGGACTAATGTTTTACGTAGTATTTATTTAATCTCATTTTGGTTATTGCTGGTACAATTGAAAAACGTACACACTTGAACCACTACTTTTTTTTATTCAAAAAAAAAAAAAAAAAAAAAAACACTCCTTTTTTTTTTTAAAAAAAATGTTAAATATTATGGATAGTTTGTTTTTATTACTTTTTTGTATTTATTTGATATTGTAGCAAAAACGGTGAAATGAACACCCAAACAAACATGTTTAGTAAGCATTATTTTGTTTTGTACGGTACGTTTTGTGAACAGTGGTTAAAAGTCCAAACACTAGGCTTTTTTTAATTTATTTATTTAATTTTTTTTTACATATTTTCGCATTGTAATAACAAATACTGTAATAATGGACAACACATAAAAAAAATTGAAAAGCTTTGAAATAACATTTTTTATATATTTTTAAAACTTGTAATACTTTTTTACCAAACATGTTTTATGTTCTTGCTTTTAAAATTTTTGCAACAAATACATATTACCAAACATGTTTTCTATAATTGTGCAAACTATCATATAACAAATCACTTGTTTTATTTCGACTGTAAAAAAAAAAATGCAAAAATAAATTCGCTAACCAAACAGAACCTAAGTATTACCTAGAAATTTAGAACACACCCTTGTTCATTCTTTCACACACACACACACATAAATAAATTCTTTCAAATACTCATTTTTAAAAAAGGTATGTATAATATTTTGTAACCAATGGGCATGATATGTACTTTGATGGTAATGTACCACACCATAATGCATTTTAAAAGTTCATATAGTTAATTAAAAATACATTGGGAAAATTAAGCCCATTTTATATTTTGTAATATCTTGAAGAATATTTGAAGAAGGAAATATATATATATATATATATATATATATATAGAAAGAGAGAATTAGTGATAATTATCTGGTTTAGGGTGTTGATTAATTATTGTAGGAAGAAAGTCATCGCAATTGGCAAATGGGGATACCTTACCAAACCAAAAGTAAAATGTAGAAGGGTATGGGCCCCCCGGAATTACCCAGGTGGCGATGCGTGTCAACGTCAGAACCAGAAATCAGCCAATTGGGCGGCTGACATGGCACCGGCGAATTCACGTGAAATTGTCACGTGGCAGTAAACAAATGGACTTTCTTTGGATGCCCTATTATTGGGATTCTCAGTGTTTTTTTTGGTTTCTTAAATTTTCTGCAAGTCATCGTTTGGTTAGTATGCGTAAATAGAGGAGGGATAAATTATTACACGGTTTGTTTTTATTTATTTATCAAGGGCATGAATGTTCGGAGTTAATAGCAGTATTTAGAGGGAGGAGAGATTCCAAAGCAATAATACGAGTTTTTAGGCATTGTTATATTTTACTCCAGGCAATGCTTGCATCCTGCAGGCGGAGGATGACCTCATCTTCCGCGCTGACATGGTCCATTGATGTGGTGACACGTGTCCAATAATAAAAATAATAATAAAAGTTGGGCAATGCCCATTTTGTCCGGATTCGACCCATATCTTATACTTTCATCCGGCTTTCCCTTTTTTCTCTCATCACTTACCTATATCTTCTCTCTCAGACCGCCTAAAACTCATTTTCCCTTTTCTCTCCATAGCCACTAAATCTTCTCTTTGTGTTCCAGTGACTCTAAGCTTCATTGCAAATACTTCCACAAAATTGATTCATTTTAGTTTTCACAAAATTGATTCACTCTAAGCTCTTGTGTTAAGCTTAACTCAAAATCAAATCAAGAGATTGGGATTTTAATAAAAATGAAACTGAAACCACAATTTGAGGTAAAAACATGACAATTTCGTTGAAAACCAGAAAACAGAATCACAATTACAGCAATTCAAAATAGTACAAGTTTCAACCAAGCACAAACAAAAGCTGTTCAAAGAATTAATGGAAAAAGCTATTCTTATGTAACTAACTCTACATCACCATCTATTTAATTTAATGATTCTGTTCCTTCACTTGTCTGCTGATGAATAATATCTTCTATTCTTCTCTCCACACTTCACTTATCTTTGGCCTCCTCTCCGGTGCCATGTCTGTACACTCTTATCACCAACTCATTTTCAATTCCACCTGAGATTTGACTTGGGATTTTCCCAGTAATGATCTCTAGAACAATAATGCCGAAACAGTACACATTGGCTTTGTGTGTCAACTTCTTCCCTAGAGAGAATTCGGGTACTTTCCCAACAGCCAGCTTTTGGGAGGATCTTCGCGATGGCAGGAGGGGCAAGAAGCCAAAGTCTGTGAGCTTCGACTGGTAGGTTTGGTTGTCGCGTTTCATTAGAAGTACATTTGAAGATTTAAGGTTGGCATGAGGTACCTTGTGTGAAGGCAAGGATTGGTGTAGAAAATTGAGACCCTTTGCTACGTCTTTGATTATAGATAGCCTTGTTACCCAATTCAATGGTACTCTTCCAACTCCTCTGTTCTCTACCAATAGGTACCCAAAATATTTGCAAGTCAAATAATTATCAAATTAATCTATTACTATCTTATATGTCAATCAAGCTATGCATTTCCTTGACGAGAACAAAAAGAAGGAAAGCTAGAACTAACGAGCTCAAACAAATCTCCATCGGGAACAAACTCGAATATAGCTAGCTTCTCCTCCTTGGAGTAGTAATCTGGACAAGACTCTAATTCTACAGTCCTTTCAGGATCCTCAGTGCTTTCCGACCAATGCCTTTTCTTTCTTCCACCCTCTGCCAAAACTTCTCCTATCAAGAACAGAAATTAAGAAAATTATTTTTTGGATAAACATATAAGCACTTGATTATAGTGCTAAATTTGTTCTTTCGAGCTCTGTATCTGAATCACTCTGTTCACAGACCTCAAATCACTTTGAACCAGTCGAGCTTCAACCATCGCAGGCCTTCGTTGGAGATCGATGTGCCTCCGGTTAAAAAAATTGAGGTTTATAACTCTTTTACAACTTCATCCAAACGAGGTCGTTTTCACTTCCCCATTACCCCTTCCTAGAGATACCCAACAATTCCGATTAAACGCCGACCAATTGTTAATCAACCTGCGCTTGAACGATCTGCGCTTCAACGACGATTCTGCACACTTCAGTGACTGCAACAGCGACCGATCTGGCGAGTTCTCAACGGCGTCGTCTCAGGGCCGGCGATTCTTGGTCGCCTACGATACGGAGAATTCCGATGAGCTGATCACGCAACTCGTCTCCGGCCTCGAGGCGAGCTCAATCGAGGATCAAAAGCAAGCGGCGATGGAGATCAGGCTCCTCGCCAAGAACAAGTCCGAGAACCGAATCAAGATCGCTCGCGCCGGCACGATCAAGCCGTTGATTTCGCTGATCTCGTCGTCCTTAGCTTCAAGAGTACGGCGTCACTGCAATTCTAAACCCCTCTCTGCAACGACAACGAGGAGCTGATAGAAAGAGAGAGATGAGAGTATAAGATATGGGTCGAACCGGACAAAATGGGCATTGCCCAACTTTTATTATTATTTTTAATATTGGACACGTGTCACCACGTCAATGGTCCACGTCATCGCGGAGGATGAACCTCATCCTCGGCCCGCAGGATGCAAGCATTGTCCTTTTACTCCTATTTAACTTCTTACTTATTTATTAGATAGGCTGCGTTTGATTAGATAGAAATAAGTAAAAAAAGAAATAAAATAAAAAATGAAAAAAAAAGTGAAGTAAATGAAAAAAAAAGTTATTTTTTATCAAGCATTTGGTTAGCATGAAAAATAAAAAAAAAAAAGTGATTGTGCATATCAAAATTACCCTTATGATATCAAATACTAAAAAAATAAATAATTTGTATTTGATAATGTCTATTTTTATTAAAGTTTTAATAAAATGATGAATTATTAAATTTAATAATATAATTATTTATATTCATTTACATTGTTTAAATTAAAACAATATTTCAAGACTTGTTAGGTAGAACCGTTGAAGTAGAACTACTTATTCATTTAAGAAAAATAAGAAAGCTTAAAAATAAATAAATAAATTAAAAAAATTTGGGCTCATGGATTCGTGGGCTTTTAACCAGAGAACACAAAAAGAGCAAAATATATATTATTCTCTATATATATAATAGATGTATATATATATTGAGGAGGCCCAGGACGACATGGGCCGGATCTGACTTGCAAGCACGACATCCGGTCCGTACAGCTGGGTCGGCCCATAAAAAGACACTGCCATATGGGCCGAACGCGAATAAGCCCATCAAAGGTGACCAGGACTTATGGAGGAACAGGCTCAGATCCAGCAATCCGTCAATATTTGTAAATATCTTGTAAATATCTATAAATAAGGGAAGGAATGGAAAGAATGGGGGGATCTTTTTGTTGAAATGTAAGAATTCTAGAGAGAGAAAGAGAGTATGAATTTCTTGCATCTTCAATTGGCGCCGTCTGTGGGAATCGCATGGAAGTTTGGTTGATGAATGAGGAATATCGAGTGGATTCAGACCAATTCGGTTGATCGAGACTCAATCTTTGGGATTTGGATCCAGATCTGAGCGATTGTGACCTACTCTGGAGAAATTACAGTTCTTGAAGCTTTGGCAGAAGTGGCTTCAGATCTACGCAACAACGAGTTGTTCGATTGTGGCAGGATCTGACGGATTTAGAGTTCAGACAATTCAGATCTCGTAAACGGTGAGCATTTTGCCTATGCAGAGGGATGAAGCTAGGAGACTCAAAAAGAATGCTGCAAAGTACGCCATCGTGCGTAACCAGCTGTACAGAAGGTCCTACTCTGGCCCATACTTGAAGTGTGTCACCCCCGCGGAGTCGCAGCAGGTATTGCGAGCTATTCATGAGGGTGTGTGTGGCAATCATTCTGGGGGGCGATCGTTAGCGCATAAAGCAATGACACAAGGGTATTTCTGGCCAAACATGTCAAGAGATGCGGAGGAGTTCTCTCGAAGGTGCGATAAATGCTAACGATATGGACCATTGATCCACCAACCACCTGAGGAGTTGCACGTAATGGCCTCGCCATGGCCTTTCACGCAATGGGGGATGGATGTGGTCGGTCCTCTGCCAACTGCAAGAGCTCAGAACAAGTATGTGTTACTGGCCACGGATTACTTCACTAAATGGGTGGAAGCAGAACCATATCCTAGCGTGACTCAGACTCATGTGAGACGATTTATTTGGAACAATATTATCTGCCGTTTCGGCGTTCCAAGATCAATAGTCATGGACAATGGCACAAACCTCGACAGCAGGCAAGTAAGAGAGCTGCTGGAGGAGTATGGAATCAACCAGAAGTTGGCTGCAGTAAGTCATCCTCAGGCCAACGGACAAGCAGAAATCACAAACAGAACCATTTTCGCCTGCATTAAGAAGAAGCTGGAAGACCATAAAGGGAAGTGGTTGGATGAGCTCCCGAACGTTCTATGGGCTTACAGAACCACCCCAAGGCGGCCGACTGGGGAGAGCCCGTTTGCAATGGCATATGGTACCGAGGCAGTTATACCGGTTGAGCATTTGGTCCCCACTATCAGAAGCTTAGCATGGAGTCGAGATCAGAACGACAAGATGTTAAGATTGAACCTCGCTATGATAGACGAAAGGAGGGACACAGCGGCTATAAGGTTAGCATCGTATCAGCAAGTATTGGCGAATAGTCACAACAAAAGAGTAAAACACAGGGATTTTGCCCCTGGCGATCTGGTTCTGAAAAGAAAGGTGGGGTTGGTAAAAAAAAATGATGCCACCCTGGGAAGGCCCATACAGAATTGCAGAAGTCATAGGCAAGGGAGCATATAAGTTGGAAACCATGGCGGGAAGGTTGGTCAGCAAGCCCTGGAACGCCACGTCTCTGAAGAGGTACTACCAATAAAAGCTAAGTTTCGGCTTTAATTGGATGTTGTTTGTTGTCAATCAAATACGTATGAATGTGCAAGTTACTGAAGTTTACAAAAAAAATAACTTTCTTTTCCAACGGCCTACTAAAAAATGAAAAGCCAAGTGGCAAGTGGCATTCTAGCCGAGCGCCAGGCACTTAAGCAAGATAAGTGGCAGCTGGCACCATAAGCCGAACGCCAGACACTTGCTAAAAATTTTAAGCCAAGTGGCAAGTGGCATTCTAGCCGAGCGCCAAGCACTTAAGCAAGATAAGTGGCAGCTGGCACCATAAGCCGAACGCCAGACACTTGCTAAAAATTTTAAGCCAAGTGGCAAGTGGCATTCTAGCCGAGCGCCAGGCACTTAAGCAAGATAAGTGGCAGCTGGCACCATAAGCCGAACGCCAGACACTTGCTAAAAATTTTAAGCCAAGTGGCAAGTGGCATTCTAGCCGAGCGCCAGGCACTTAAGCAAGATAAGTGGCAGCTGGCACCATAAGCCGAACGCCAGACACTTGCTAAAAATTTTAAGCCAAGTGGCAAGTGGCATTCTAACCGAGCGCCAGGCACTTAAGCAAGATAAGTGGCAGCTGGCACCATAAGCCGAACGCCAGACACTTGCTAAAAATTTTAAGCCAAGTGGCAAGTGGCATTCTAGCCGAGCGCCAGGCACTTAAGCAAGATAAGTGGCAGCTGGCACCATAAGCCGAACGTCAGACACTTGCTAAAAATTTTAAGCCAAGTGGCAAGTGGCATTCTAGCCGAGCGCCAGGCACTTGCCATAAACAAACACACGGCAAAGCTAATATAAAAGAGAAGAGAGAAAAGATATATATGTATTGAAAATAGGTTGAACAGAGCACAACACAAAGGGAAAAAGAGTTCTGTCATTTCATTGATATTAAGCATTGAGTTTACAAAAAGTGAGATGTCCATCGTTACAAAAAGGTATGGAATCGAAGAGTCCGGAGGAGCCCTAGTTAGACGCCTCAGTACCAACAGCATCCTGGTTGTGCCGACCCGCCTCCTCGGCCCCATCAGCCGTCTCACCTTCACGAGGTGGGGAATCAAGATGAATGACTGAATCGTTCGGCTGGGGCTCAGCGTCAGCAGTGGCTATGGAAGGTACCACAGTTGACGATTGAGGAGCGGTCAGAGGCAGAGCGGTAGGAGGAGCTGTAATGATCCTTGAGGAAGCAATGTCCTGGCACTCATCGAATATGCGCTCCGCTTCGGTGGGTTCTGGGTCGACATAGACCCCCAGAGGTTCGATCCCTAAATCCTTGTCGACCTCATCTGGAGTGGAACTGGTCTGTCCCTCATCCGGAACTCGGTCGGCGAAACCTTCTCGGAATCCTTGAGCATATCTAAGAGCACCGACCCTTGAGAACCGAGCGTGAAGAGCCAGCATCCCACCGCTCACTCTGCTGATCGCATCGATCAGAGCGGTACGCTTGTCCAGAACTCTCTTCTCAAAAGCCATCCGAGCAGACTGTTCATCAGCCAGAAGGCGCTGGAGCTCTGCCTTTTCGTCTCTGATTGAGTCACGCTCAGTCTGCCAGACGCTCTTTTCAAGCTGGAGGGCATCCTTCTCATCCTGAAGAGAGTCATTCTCCTTCTTCAGGACATCTCTCTCTTGTTCAGTTTTTTCAAGCCGAGCCAGTACCTCGGTATTCTTGATGGCGAGAAGGTCGTTTTCTTTATTAGCCACCTCCAGGCTATCAGAAAACTTACGAGCCCTGGCGTTCCCCATCTCCACCTGCTTCTGCATAGCCATCATTCCGAACAATGTCTGCATAGATGTACATTAAGAACGGTTAAGCCAATAGTCAGGTCGGGCGAAGGCAAGACCAAATAATATGAGAGAATTCATGAGTTGGAAAATAAAAGTCACCTCCATAGCAGATTGGGGAAAGCGGCTGAACACATCCTTCTGGGATAGGCCCTTTGCCGCCTCAAGGTCTTTCGGAGTCCACATGCTCCTATAGTACGCCATGGCGGTCTGGCCATCCTTCAGCATGGTCTCGTTCGGTTTCACGAACGTCCCATCCGTTCGGGTGTACCGAGGGGCCCATGGCGGTAAGGTGGGGATAGAAGGGGGGCCTGAAGCAGAAGCAGAGGCACCAGCTGCAGTAGGCCCGGAGGGAGCAGGAGCTCTGATCGTACGATGCAAGAGAGCACCCTGCCCGGAGACCCGGGTCCTTCTTATGAAAGGTTCCTCCTCAGGATCGACTTCACTGTCAGGATGAGGCCTTTTGCCTCGTTCTCTGTCCCGAACGCCCCCCGCGGCAGCAGGAGCTGTGGTAGTTTGGGGAGACGCGCTCGGGTTGGCAGCAGGGGTGCTGACAACGGAGTTAATAGCCACTGTGCTCGGGATAGTGTCAGAGATGGTGGCTGAGGAAGAGGCTGATGCTGGAGAGGAGGTCGCCCCAGCAGCAGGAGTGGCTGGGGGAGTATTTTTCTTCCTGCCAAAAGAAGGAATCTGAAGCCTGCTCATGTTGTAGCCGAGTGATGAGAGCGCTAAGAGGTTGTCTGAAGTGAGGAGATCTGAGCAGGAAGGAATATCGTTCAGAACGTATTTCTTCAAGTAATTACT